AAGGTTCTGTTGGCCCTTCTGGTGTGAATTCCATGCAGAAAAAACATTTTCTTTTTTTTTTACAAGGTTTTGTTTTGTTTTTTTTTTCCCAGAAGTTGTGAGGAAGAAAAGGAGAATATTCTTTCTCTTTCTGGTATTGCAGATCTTCTTTGCATTTTGGAAACTGAAAAAATACAGGACATGCAGTAACCTGTGCTAAACATTCTGCTGTGTTTTTCAGACATATTCGAACTAAAAAGTTAAATCATAGTCCTGAAGAAGTAAATGAACTGCAAGCACAAATGTTACTTTTTGTCAGTTAGAGCAAAACAGTTGCTACCTACACCTGAAGAGTCCTCCTCTCTAGTACAATGAAAGTACAACTACTTTCTAGTACAACCTAGTACTTGTGGTTCATGGTAAAAAGAGAAAGTCCTCTTAATTTATATACATAAAGAGCTATAGAATCAATAAAATATTTTGGCTCAGATATTAATGTTATACCTGCAAAACCAGCATATTTTTTAATTTTAGCAAAGAGATCTGCAGCACTGAAATTGCAGACAATTGCATGTGTTTCTTTTTCCACTCTATTCTAGGCTTTACATGTATGTATATACTGTTACTTTCAGGGAAAATGCTCATAACAAAAAGCCTGTACAAAGATTTCTGGAACAGTTCTGCTATTTTTTGGCAGCTTTGTGTGAATATAGTACAGGAAAAAAGGCATCTGAAATCCTTCTTGCCATTCAGTATAAATCTAAGGCAAATTACTGTGATGTGTGATACAATCTAAATTAACATCATACCAAAGGCACTTTATGAAGAATATGTACTCTTATCATTAACATGGGTCTTTTCCCCAGCACTATACAGCAGAAAGTAGAGTAGATGACATGGAAGAATGCTGGTCAGAGATGGAGATTCACTCCTGTTCTGAACAGCATTTACAAGTTGTTTATAACTCAATGTATCTCCACTTGTGGAACACAGCTTTCTAAAATAATAAGATTGGTGTAGAGATTTTAAGTTTCTTACCAGTCTCATTGCTCTGGGGATTTGCCAGCTCCAAGTTACAGTTCTCTGTACTCATACAGTCTATACTAACTGCAAAGATTTGTCTGCTAACAACTAGCAAAAGTTCAACACAATGAGAGTTACATGGAGTTCTTGGCTGCTAGACAGAATTACAGAAGACTTTTTACTCTTTCGGACAGAAAGATGAGTTTGCTGAACTGAACTCTCAGAACAAGCCTTTTCAAAAATGTCTTTAAATAATTTTTCCATTAATTCCTCAGTAGTATTGTGTAACCATGACCTTCCTTTCAGTTACTTGCTGTGGTGGCTACATGATCTCTCAAAGTTTATTAATATAACAATAACACAGGTTTCCAACACAGGCTGGGGCAGAAGTCATAGAGTTCTTGCCTTTTATTCGTCAGATAGAAGAGAATTTAGTTAAGATTCATAACAATTGTGACTCAAAGAAGGTATTTAACCCAGATAAATTAACTCTGCCTTTACCTGTATTCAGCAGGATGCACATTATGGTATGCCCAACTCTGCCCCTTCAGCTGGACACCTGTGGAATGTGACATCCTAGTGTCTTGGCTGGGTTCCCACTGTGTCCCTTACATTGCTTCTACCTCTCACCCCCAAATCAAGAGTTATGAATCTGCAAATATCCTTTGTTTCCGTAAGAGAGGTATAGTTTGCGAGATATTACAGTAAAAGAAAGATGCACCCAGTGAGATGAATTGCTTTAAAATAAGTTGCCCTAAAATCAGGAACCTAAAGTTATATTTAGACAATTCAAGGACTGATACAGTTTTTAAAAGTTTCCTTACCTAGATGGAGCAACTGGGGTGATCATCTTGCTTGGAACAAACAGGCCACCTATTTAAAGTGTCTTGGCTGAATTTCTTAAAATCAATTTAAATATTGATTACTTAAATAGAGTCCATCACTAAAGAGTGTTTAGAGTACAGCATTCACTTGCACTGAAGGAAAATAAAGACAAGTAAAGAATTGCAAAGAAGAATATATGAGAAACATAATCAGATTACATCACTGCTGCTTAATTTTTTATACCTACTAAGATCACTACGGAATAATCCTAACTTCATCAGAATAAAATTTTTCAATTTGCTTCTTATGCAGTTCAGGATGACTTGAAAAAAATCAAATAGTTTTTCTTAAAATTGTAAACAAACCACCAAAAACATAAATATCTGTTTCTACTTAAAAAAAAACAACCCAGGAATATTATGTCAGATTTTGCATTACTACAAATTTAAAAGTCCAAATCTGTTTGATTTCCTACAGAACTTGTATTGCTTTCCTAGAGATTTTCTCTAAATTGTAAAGGACACTTTTAAAAGTAAAAAATTATTTAATGTTAAGACTCTAAAAGCCGTCAACAACAAGAAAAACAAGACTTCTTTCTCCATTTTGATAACACAATTATCTGACTCAGTAAAACTTGCAGTTTGTAGTCCATCTGTAGTAGACATTTTAATGCAAAGTTAAAACAATAAGCCACCAAGATACACATGTGTTTCAGATGTCTTCATGCAGCAATAGAAAAAAAAGTCCCTGTTTTTGATTCTTTTCATGCAACCTTTGGAGACTGACATTGAAATCTGAACCTGTGCTGTTTAAAAATATAATCCAGGTGGAGCAGTAACAAAATGCAGTCCAAGTGTTCTGTATATTGTTTTTTCTGACAAATAATATCTGGATACCCAATTTGATTAACCAATCTCTTCTCAACTCTTTTTCTTTATGACACTTTATTTAAAATTTATCAGAAGTTTTATTATAAACTATGGTTCTTTATTGGCAGCTATCAGCAATAACCACTACATTCTTTACTTGGTGTTTTATTCCGTCATATCCAAAGTCAACCAAATTGTGCAAAAGCTTTTTTTCCTCAAATTTAACTGTTCGATGCTTCAGTCTGGCACTACTGAACATGGATGTATTCAAAGGGGTCAGCTGTCAGTATTCTGACAGTATCTTTCCAGATACTTCATTTAAGCTGCTGTTATCCAAATCTTTTCTGTCTGATAAACAGAACAGAAATAAATGATGGCTTATTTTTTATTTCATAGTATAAGTCAAAAATTTTGTATGCATTCATGCATCTTTTGGTGATCATTAGTAATCTCCTATACATTTCCATAAATATTTAATTTCACGCAGAGCAAACTACACTCCCTGAACAGGTATTAAAATATTCAGACTTTATTTTATGCAATACATGAATTTTCTGTATTGTATAAGCAAGATATTGTACTGTACTTCATTTTCCCCAGAAGTTATTTGTGAAGACGGTGAGGCTGTTTTAAATTTTAGGGTGGCAACATTTGTCATGAGCCTTCCTATAAAAACCTTGAGGGGTCTAAATAATGGCCTCTGGAGATTTCAATCTTTTTTCTCTGCTACAGTTTAATACTGCACATTTTTATTCTAAGGAAGTATCTCACAGGGCCTCTCAGAAATTGAATATGAAAATCCACCCTCCCAGAAAAAAAAATCAGTGTTTAAAGCTTTTCTTTGGAATTGCAGGAAGCTGTAATAGAAAAATCAAGCTGAACATCTGCTATTTCACATCCCTCTGCCTGAATTAAAAAAGTAGGATACAACTACTAATGTTGGTGCAACACATTCACCAACAGAAAATTGAATCTTAGCAGTAACTTATCTTTTGATGAAGACAATGTTACCATGAAGTATGATCTGTGATCCTTAGATGAAGGCAAACCTTTTGTTTAAGGGTTCAATTTTTTCAGAAGATAGCCTAGAAAAAAAAAATCCACCTTAAACATGATCATCCTCTCACATCCAAAATTAATCTGAATCTTTGGATTTAGCTTAGCATTGATAAACCTTTTCTAAAAAGTTTAACTTCTTGTGCAACAAACTAATATATTCATTATACATTCATTAAAATTCTCAAGATACATGGATTTACTGAAGTGAATATATTGCCCTATACTTCACGTATTTGACCCAACCTAGATATATGACATAATGAATACTTGGACCTAACTATGATAGCCAACATACAAAGTAATTAATCATCAATAGACAAGGCATTTCAAAAATTTCACTGCTGACATCCTGAAAAATAGGACAGGATGTCTGCAAGACAGACATTAAGAAGATATAAAACAGTTTGGAAATTTGTAGAAATATAAAGAAAACTGAAACACACAGCTTACAATGTTTTTATGTGACAAGCAGTTCAAAATAAACACAGGAAAAAAAGAACATCAGGAAGAGTGATTTCAGACTCATTGTTCTAAATGATGTAAAATGAGCTACAATTTATTTTTGTGGCAAAGTACTGTACTCAAGTTTGATAGCAGAATATATATCCTCTTTTTGAAAAATTCAACAGATTTCTAACACTCTCCACTACTATTAACATGTTAGTTAAAAATGGTTTCATTTTTAATTATCTATGCTGACAGGAGGAAAAGACACTATTTCCTACTTAGCATCTAGTGTAATAGTGAGGGAAAAATTGGAAAAACTATAAAAATAATCCTACTAGACTTCAGTAGAGAATGGATCTCACACAGGAGCATCCCTCATAATCCCAGGACTCTCAAGCGAGGTCTTGGAAACTTTCCAAAGTTAGCTACTAATTTTGATCTCCTTAATGTGGGCAGCATCCTATGTCCTAGTTTAGCAGAGCAGAAAAAGTCTTTTCTAATGAGGAAACATAACATGCAAAGACAAAAGACTCAATGCAGTGAAGCACACAAAGGAAATCCATGCCATTTAATTTTATTGTGCTGTGTTGGTTGCCTCCTTAATGTGAGTTTGTAGCCGATAAACTGTGAGCATTTTTAGATGTATTATTTAGGTCAGTTCTTCAGGTGAAAGCAGGGCATGTTTGGAGCGGCAACGCTCACTTTTACACTGTTCAGAGACCTGCCTATCTGAAAAAGAATGAAACTTGTTTGGCTACAAACTTTTTGTTTTACGACTTACACAGTACACTCAGTGGGAGGCTAGGACTTCATTTCGGATCTTAGAGGATGCAAGCTAAAGCCCTCAAGGACAAGATGTAACATAAAGTCTTTGTGAAGGGTACAACCAGCACAAATTCTTAAAGTGCACATGACAAATTCAAATCTTCTAGCACCCAGCATTTTGTTACTAAAAAGAAGTCTTAGTCCTCATTCTGCAGATAAACCTTTGAAATTAATAAAGTTTTACTGATGGAGACAACCAAAATGAAAAACTCAGCGATGCGAACTGTGTCCTGCTTAAGCCTGAGTGCAGTCTTAACTCAGAAGTCCATCACTGTCAACTTTAGTTATTTAACCACGGATCACTTGGTGGATACATAGCGTATGAAATGACAATGAAACAGACTCAGATGGGAACTGGAGAGGCTGCTGGGGAGAAAATGCAGAGAAAAATCAGGAAGCTGTGCTATAAAACTACTACCAATGACAGGAATAAAAAAATTTCTTCATACCTAGTATGAAGATACATGGCATAGATATATGGCTTTGCTTTGTATTTGTAGCCAAAACTGCTGATAACACACCCGTGTTTTGGCTATTGCTGAACAGTACTTTCTTCCTTCAAATGCTTCCTTTTCTCCTTCACATAAGCTGGAGCTGGGGCTTGAGGCTGGGAGCTGATAGAGTCAAGACAGGTGATCCATACCACAGCACTCAGCAATAGATCCTCAGGGAGGTGCAGAGGAAGGGTGGATGTCTATGATTATGATATTTCTCTGTGCAAGCAACATGTGCTTAGGTTCTGCTTCCCTGGAACTGGTTAGACAACTGCTGATGAGAAAAGCAAATAAAGTCCTCTTTTTGTTCTGCTTGCACACAGAGCTTTTACTTTCCCTGTTAAACTGTCTTGATCCACGAGTGTTCTCATCTTCTTCTATTTCCCATCCAAACCTGCAAGAGAGAGGACTGAGTGAGGGGCTGGGTGGGTGTTCAGCTGCTGGCTGGGCAGCCCATCACAGCCCTTAAGGTAGAGAGCAGATATTACTAAGTAAGTGTTTAATTATTCTCTCAAAGACTGTATCTTGTCAGGAATAAAGAGGCATATATAAATAATTTTATTTTAAAAATCCAGGAAAAATCTTTTGGGAATACAGTAATTACCTCTGCTCTCCCAGAGTATATCTGTTTTAACTTCAGTTTTCAGTGCAGCAAAAGAAATGTATGTTACCATGAGTAATTATGCTTACAGACAGCTAGTGTTAAGTGTGAATCCATTTAACCCACTTGACAAAGATTATTTGCCAAATGTTCAAATAAAATTACTTATTCCAAAGCAATTTGCAACAGTTAGCCAGCAAACAACTCATATCTTAAAACTTGAAATCTATTACCTAAACTAGAGTCTCTTAAGCACTTCTGATAGTATTTTTAGTTTCAGATTATACTTTGTTTTTGAGCATACTAATTTATGCATACTTAACATTTCACAGATATCTTTCAAATGTAGGTAACAGCTTTGTGAAAGCATGTATCATCATTTATAGCACAATCAATTAAAAACTAGTTTACCTGCCAAATGCAACTAAATCAATAATTCAGACTGTTCCATATTACCACAATCAATGCAGCACCTTTTAATGCAGCTGAGAAAAACACTACTACATAAAATTATGATCTTTCAAATCAGAGATGATTTGTGGTTTGCACCAGGCATATACTTACATATTTATATACCTACATATTTATATACAACAGAAAATTTTTGCAGCTGGGTAAGATGGTCATGCAAGAAAACAAAAACCCTCCAATATTTGAGTTTTTCATCATTTTTATCCCTTAAAACACCCCATGATTCCTAGTGCTCCAGATGAAGTACCTACACCGTACTTAGTACTCTCAAAGAAAAAATTGCCTGGAAAATGTGACATGCTTAGTTTTGCATTAATTCAAAATCAAATTTGAATTAGGATACCTATTGGTCTTATCTCACAGTCCCTGGTCTGCTAGTGTTCTAGCCTCACCATAGCATGTTATTTTTCTCACACAAATCTCTAAAACCTTTTTCTCCCTCTGTAACCTCACTGAACTATCTAACCACTGGTCTCCATAGTACCTATTTCAGAGACAGTGAGTAAAGTATACACTATTTATTTCTAATTTTGTTAAGTAAATTCAGGTCATCATATGCTTCTCCATACACACAATATTTTTGAGCGCTTAATTTTTGTTTTACTTCATCTGATCTTCACCATTCTAGCTGGTTGTTCTCTCCCACTGAATAATTACTGAAAGTAAACTGCATGCCCTTGAGGCAGGGATTATTGAGTTCACCTACACTGAAAAAGCACCTAACACTTCTGAAGTTCTCTGAAACAAATAAAGATGCTAGAATACTCTACCACCTAAAGCTTTCATTGTCAATGCTGCAAATTACTTCTACATAAAAGCTACTAAACAAAATGTTGCTTACGAAGCAAATGTTTAGTATGAACTTAGCAATATTTAAAACAAATGGTGTTGCAGTTTTTATGGGGAGCTCTTATGGTTTTTATGTTCTTAGACACCATCACTGTGTATTTAGTGTTACTGTACACTATACACTGGTACACTTCTATATTTAACATCATTCCTGTCCTTCCAGTATGTGATGCTCTTCCTTCCAATTTTTCACTAATGAAAGCAATCTCATGTACCTCAAGAAGTAATATAATGTATAGGCTGCAAATAATCTGTGATGATGGCTTTTCCAAAACAACTCTACCACAAAAAAGAATATGAAATGGTTTTTATATGCTTTGTAAGGACTGTTTAAGGCTGTATGATGAAACTCCTCCTCATGGCAACAATGAATCAAGCAAAAAAATGAGCCTTCAAGTACTGGCATGCCTTTTGCTTTCATTTATGTAATTATTGGTACCGATATATTTGGCATAATTATAATATGCCATTATTGCTAGAGCAATACTCTATGGCAACTCTGCAGCATAGAAGTAAGTTTGCTGTATAGTTTTTGCTCATTTAACAATGTGTTTACTGCAATGGACCATACTTCCAAAATTTTTTATTCCTAAGAAAAAAAAAATCAGGGCAAACACTCTTATTGCCTGACAGAATATGTGAGTACAGCATGCTAATATGAAATATAATTATTAATGAGGCAGTGAAATATGTTAAGCTATGCTAGTCTACCCGACCTGGAGTATGGTGTTCAGCTTTGGGGTCCCCAGCATAAGAAGGACATGGATCTGCTGGAGCAATTCCAGAGAAGAGTCACTTAAGATGATCATAAGGCTGGAGCACCTCTCCTTTTAGGACAAGCTGAGAGAACTGGAGTTCAACCCGGAGAAGACAATGTTCCAGGAGACCTTATAGCACCTAATGAGGGTCTACAAGAAAGAGGGAGAGGCACATTTTACAAGTGCATGTAGTGATAGGACGAGGGGGGAACAGCTTTAAATTGAAAGAGGATAGATTAAGATTAGATATTTGGCAGAAACTGTTTACTGTGGGGGTGGTGAGGCACTGGAACAGGTTGCCCAGAGAAGCTGTGGCTGCCCCATCCCTGGAAGCGTTCAAGGCCAGGTTGGATGGGGTTCTGTGCAACCTGGTCTATCGGAAGGTGCCACAGTCCATGGCAAAGGGTTTGGAAACATATGATCATTAAAGTCTCTTCCAAGTCCAAGCATTCTATGATTCTATGATGATCCACAGAACACAGTCTCTTTTTCAGAGTGTGTTTTTAATTTTCAGAAGTTCAGACGTGACATTAAAAATTTTCTACAGAGATAAAATTAAAATGCCACTGGACTTTTAGGTCATTTAAGTTCTCTAAAATATGGCTGGACAATTTTTCTGCTATCAGATGATAAAAATATAATTACTTCTGTCATTTTGATTCAGTTTTAAAAATACTTGTAGAGAGTAGTTAATTCTGTAGTTAACATGCTTATGATGTACTGTCAGGTCCACTCTGGCCAAATTTAGTACAAAAGCAAGGAACAAAACACAAGAGTAAAAAACTGTCTTCCCTAGAATCAACAGAGGACTAAATTCAATCTTAGAGTACATTTTCAGATTTTGGTTATCCAATGTCATCAGCATGCAGGTCACCCAGGCACAACTACTAGGTAGGATGCTCCTTTTCATTGTTCTTGCATTACTGAGGGGAAATTAAAATGTGGCCCCCTTTGCCTCCACCTCAAATTAGATATGTTAGTTTCTTAGGTCAGAACAACTAATAATTTAAGTATGGATTATTACATTGTCTCAGTCTGATGAGACTGGAATGTTTGCTAAAGAGGATGAGTTATGAGATAGACCAAACTTCTCTCTCTCAGCAATTGTAAATTCAAAATTAAGGGGCTTTAATCGAGGAAGTGTGGAAAAAACAGAAGAAATAACAACCCTTTATTAAAAGATATATGTATGTTGGCAAGAACAGTGACAGAACACAAAAAAACCCTAGACAATAGTCCTGTGCCCAAAAGTCCCCTTCAAACAAAAGAAGAAGTCTGAATACTTCTCTGTCCTTTAGCGCAGTTCTAATCACAGTTGGCGGGGGCGCTGTTGGGTCACTGGAGGTGCAGAGCCTGCAGTTCCCTGTGTTGGCCTGCAGGGGGCACTGCTGGGCTCTGGCGGTCACCGCGCGGGGAGGGCTCTGGGGGGGGGTCTGGGGTCATGGGAGAAGCCGAAAAAGAAAATGGGGACCCTTCCCCCAGTGGAAGGGGAAAAGAAAGCAGTCCACCCCCCAACGGAACTCACTGTTGTTCCCAGGTGACGGTGTCTCAAGGCTCCTCTTCTCTCTCCCTCAGCGGGCACAGAGCTCTCCGATGAAAACACAGTAGGCTCTGGCTGGAGTCACGAGGCAGTGTGCAAAGCCAGCTGAGACCAGTGATCGGCTTCACCAGGAAGAGAAGCCAGAAAAGCCTGGCTTCCAGGCTTTTTTCTTCAAAGAATGCCTGCACACAGACTCTGTATCCGTTCAAGAGAGAGAACTCAGCAGTCTGCCCCTCTCCCCTCCAAGCAGAGCCAGCCACCCCCTCCCAAAACTCCTCCCCTCTCCCCCCAGTCTCTGATGGGGCATCAGCTAGGAATGCGGTCCAGCCAGCTAGACCCTTTGTAAGGCTAATTGACCCCTTCCCCCTTTCCATTCAAACTCCTTCTTTCCTACAGTGGGGGAGGGGCAGGAGGAAGAAAAATTCCACTCTTAAATTTACAACCTATAACATACATACATTAAATACGTAAGACTACATAAGCTCAAAAGCAGATACAAAAGTCCATCTTCAAAATTTATGGAGATAAAAGCTGGATCAGTTTTTATATTCACACTAGGAAGTCAGGGTATCAATACATGGTGATTATGCTCTAGCCCTCAACTTAATTCTATCTGCAGCAAATCAGTTCTTGATAATGTCTCAGACATTTCCACCTAGAGTAATTACATTTTTATAGCCATCATAAGAAACATCCATCAAGTGAAAATGATTTGCTGGTAGGAAACAGTCTGACTGCAAACAACCAAAAGTCTAACACATGAACATTTTCCAGCAGGATTGTTAGACTATGGAACAAACTAATAGTTAGCAAAAATCATAAGTATAAAGCCATGTTTTAATGTTATACCTCATCTGATCTATCAGCTAACATTTGTTTACCTCCAATCACACAGTTTCAACTATACTCTTATGCTGGCTACAGTAAACTAGTGAACCCAGTATGACCTGACATGGCACAAAAAAACAACAGAGAGGTATTTAGTTTTAGTCTTTTTTCCTCTCTGAATCAGGGCACTGTGTAGTCAGATGAGACAAGAGAAGTAGACAGTTCTGGTCAGAACTGTATGTGGATGCCTTTTCACTCACATGAAACCACCAACTATGTTGCCTACTCACACTATCATTTGAACTAAAAAGGTAATCAGATACTGGCATATTTTGGCAATGCCAAGTGGTTCTGTCTATGTCAGTATTTTTAACAAAGAACTGCAAATTGCCCAGAACATAATTCATAAAACTAAATTGCAATAGCATATCACTGACACGGTGAGTCATATACATTTCCTTGATGTTCACATTTGGCAAAAGCAAAACATAATTCCTGAAAAGTTCTGATTCAGTCACAAATGCACTGTGCCCATCCACAGTTATGACAGGCTGGTGCTGTTCAGAGAGTCACTAGTAGGAACCCTGCAGACGGACACATAATTCATACCTTCTTTTATTTGTTTTGTTATTTGTTACAAATCTAGTTTCATTTGTAAGCTTTCCAAAAGGACTATCCCATAAACTAGCAGGTACCTTGAACTTCTAGTGATCTTCTAGAAGAATGTCTCATAAAAGATGCATCTCGCACTAACAGGCTCTAAATCAGGAAAGGTGAGCTATTGGTATTGATAAAAAGTTTGCACTCTGCACAATTTTTTGTTGAAACAAAAATTTAAACAGAGCACTGGGTTTTTCTGAATAAATTTGACACTAACCACAAAAAATTTCATAAATACAAAGAATTTAAACGTTATTGCTCTACACTAAGTTAGGGAGGTGGGTCCTTAGAACAACTCCTTAGATCAGAGATAAAAAATGGATGAAGTTCTTTGGCAAATGATGGAAATGGCAGCACTTTGTTTTCTACTAATACGTCTTACCTTACTTCTTTCTTAAAAGTAAAAACACTGAGCCAAATGAATAAAAGGTGCTCTCCATCTTGTGTGTTTCACGTATACTCACAAGTCCTGATCTCTTACTTCAACATTCAAATACATATGAGTTGACAGTCACCACTCTGTCTCTGTTTTCCACTTAGACTGCACTTGTGTCATAGTCTCCTGGGAGTCTGATCTGTTTCCCCCCACTCCCTTTTCTTCTCTCTAATCCAGCTTCAAAACAAAGAACAGGAGGAGCAGGGAAGCTATGTGCATTTGCACTCCAACTCCACTACCCTTTGTTCTTTCAACCTCCATCTGCAACCCAATCCAACATAGTGGGAGCATAACAAGAGACAACTGCAAAAAACCCCCTGTATTTACTTTCTTAGGCTAAGTGGTCTCACTCTTAGAATTGTGATGCATGGTTTCTCAATCACCTTCCAGGCAGCTCTGTCTGTGCCAGGTTTCCTCCCTCTGCACACATAAAGGACCCCTTACAGACTACTATCTGAGACACAAAGGAGAGCAGAAGGTGACATGAGCTATGTTTGGGCCATAGTTCACTAGTTGAGGGGTCTTGCTGCAGAGTTCAATACCTATGTTACTAAAATATACCTTTTCAGTTCATGTTCCATACATCATGTATATGGCTAGGAAAATACTGGCAAGCTTTTTTAGAGTAACCAGCTTGAGGTATAAGAATTATTTTCTTCCACTGTGCTCAAAATCGCACTTTCTGTCTGCTTTTCCTGAAGAATTGCTTGAAAAATTGAGCTCTCCCCACAATAAAAGATGACAAGAACCACACTGCATGCAAAAAAAAAAGCAAGTCTGTTGCCATAGAACATTCACACCCATATTTGAAAAACAACAGCAGACAAGTGGAAAAACTCCCTGTATTTTAAAGTACTAATAAGAAATTGAAGATAAGATGCTGAGGAAACACATGCAAGTTCAAAAAAGCAGCTCCAGTGGTCCAAAGTCTTTTCATACAGTACCATGTACAAAAGAGCAAAAAGGCAAACTGCTGTCAAGAACATAGGTAGAATATTAGGTAGATACATTTAAGACAGATAAACTGATACTCTGAATCTTATCTAACCAGATCACTGGATTTGTTGAGATTCAAAATGCTGAACAAATTCTGTGCTAAAAGCAAGAGAAAAACCTATCTTTGCAGCTGAAATTGATGAAATAGTAGTATAGATAAAGAGAAACAGAGAATACAGATAATGTGCTGCTACAGACAAATTTCTGTAAGATGTTACACTATTACTGCCACTTACAGGTTTTACAGAAGTTTGATCTAGAGAAAATGCAGAGAAAACTGAGAGGCCATCTCTGCACTCTGGTTAAGCAACTACCTTCTAATGCATCTCTCCATTATAAAGTAAGATTATAGTTTACTAATAGTGGCTCAAGTTAAGCCCAGAAGATCCTCATAACATTTTGTTACCCACTGTGGTGGGTCACATACTGTACTTTTCAGCATATATCCCAAAAATCCAGTACTGCTCACACATTTGTATTAAAACAGTTTCCCTGCACTAGTCAATGCTACATTTATACTTAAACTAAAGGGAATTGGGTTACTTTCAGAACAAAAGGAATCCAAAAGACAGACATCCACACAGTGGTTAACACCATTCTAAATATGGATATATTCCACAGATTAAGAGATTTAAATCCAGAAAGATTAATCTAATAGTAATTCTAATGCATTATTTATAACCTCCTAACACAGCTTACTTTTAGAAACCAGATTGGTCTGTTGTGCTGTGCTGCAGATGGAAACAGCAGCATATTGCCACAGCAACTACAAAAATGGTGTTCTGCCTTTCAGTTTAGTAGTTCCTTGATGAAGAGAATTGATCATCTAGAAGAAATCTCTTTCTGCTCAGCATTTTTTCTAAGGCATAAATCTCAATTTCAGTTTGCTAATATACTAAAACCAGTATTACTCTTTACTGTAACATAATTAACATGCTCACTTCAACTGGATTTTGGACCCAGCTCAAAAGAAGCACTACTTAACAGTACAAGATGTGTCATTATGCAGCCAAGAGGAACCACCAGGTCTGTCTGTCTGTACTCTTTAAACAACCTCTTCATGTATCTTTTCCTACAACCTTGTCTATCTTGTAGAAAGTAAGATGGAGCACCAAACCCAATTAACAGCTGGAAAAAACGCAAATAATATAAACCATACACATTTGTCCATATGCATTCCAGAATCCTATTTTCTAATGTTGTCAATAAAATAAACAAGTAATTCTCTAAACCATTGATAAGTGTCTTTGGTATGCACCAGACTTTAAGAATAAAAGAAAATTAATCTGATAGAAGAATGGCAGCTTCTATCTAGGACATGCTCTTCTGGATGTGCCAGTGCTGGCTGGTCTGCTACAGTGGGGTTGGTTTCTACAGATTTTTGCCCTGTGAATGGTATCTTTTCCTTTTGCAAAGTTCAAGTACAGCATTTCATACATTAGAGCATTTAAGAGTCTCCTATGTGTACCTGACTTCTTCAAATTTCCTAAAGATTAGCAGTTACCTGAATAAAATTTGCCACATCATCAATTGTGGCTGAAATGCATTTTTCTTCCTTCACTATGTATCAACATTTTCATGGTTTAATGAATGTTCTTCGCTCTGTTTTTTATTAATTAAATGCTTTCTATGACTTATTTTCTTAAGTAGATTGCTTGGCATGAAAATTAATATGACAGAAAAACAGCAGAGTAAGCACTCAGATAGGAGTGGCACAGTAAAATGCATTTCAGAGTTGCACTGCAATTCTAGCTCTCCTCTTCCTGAGACATACTAATTTTAATCTGAAAATGGAAGCTGAGATATTCTAAATTACATCTATTTTCATCTTTTAATTAGACTTTTAAAAAAGTCCACGAAATTCTTTTTTCTTACTCTGTTTTTGGTTAGATATTTCTTCGTTTTCTATACAGCTTTTACCAAAACATGAATTAAAATTTTTGCATTTATGGAAGAAATTGAGAATCATCTTTCTTCACCAGTTGCTTCCGCTCAGTCTCCCTTAGATAAGATCACATTCTAGTTCTCAAGTTGCTAGCTAATTATTTTCAATTTGCTTTAGAATTTGTATTAGGAGTGCACTTTAGCAAAAACCCTTAAATCCAAATCAAAACTCAAAATAGCTTTTAAAAGCCATTGAAGAGCATACAAATGAAATAAATAATGTCATTAAAAGTTGGGAGAACCATGAAATTATTTATTTCTTTGAGTGTTCATAACATCATTTGATGCTGCATACTTTTACTAATCATACAAAATTGATTTGTCCAAGTAATGCAAGCTC